ACTATAAAGTACCCACAACGGATCCAAGGCTTATCAACCTGGGTACACTATTCACCCCTAAACTGCAAGGGGTTTTATCTGGAAGCTGACTTTTGTCAACCTGACATTCATCAGAAAAGGATCCAATGTCTTGAGCTTGATGTATCAACAAGGCAAAATTTGACCTTGGTCATGTTTCAACAGGCAATATTACTCCAGGAAACGTGCACTCACTTCTGCAAACAGTTTTCAGAGACAAAATAGCATTCCTTATCACCTGCTCAATGGACCCATGCTTCCAATGTTGTGAAGCTACTTGAGCCTCTTAGTGAGGCTACCAAGATTCTTTGCGGCTCAACATATCCAACACTAAATACTGTCCTCCCTGTCTACCTGGTCTTGATCCAACATTTACACTCAGTCCAAAGGGTTCTCTGTGACCCACCCCAACTTACTGAACCTGCTAGAAACATGAAGATTTACAAAATTGATAGTTACTACCAAGATGCTATCAAGAAACTGGTCTACATCTGTGAAAATATTTGAAACCCTAAGTTCAAAAAAATGTTCTGGATCAACAATGCTAGCTCTGTTGAAGAGAACTACAACATGTTGGTCAACAACATCATCAAGATATTGGAAACCAAATGTGAAACACTTTTGTCTTTGCAGTGATCTGACAAAGAACCATCCTCTGAATCAGCATCCATGGAGCCATGACCCAGCAGTTATTTTGTCTCCAAGCTATATCAAACACCCTAATGTCCATGGAGTGCAAGCCAAAATAAATCAATACCTCAAGGAAGACATTGAGCCCAAGGGTTTCAATGCAAACTGGCGCAAGAAATTTCCCCACCTGGTAGGAATGGCTTGCTGATTCCTTTCAATCCTGGCAACAATTGCTGCATCCAAGTAAGTATTTTCCAATAGCCACTGGATTGTATCTTGGCAACGAGCTGCTCTCCAGTCAGCATTGATTCAGGAACTCATTTGCTTGAAGGACTTGTTCCAGGCTTTCAATGGTCCCTTTGGATTGTTCTTTTTTATTTCTTTTTTTATCAAACCAATCCTACCTCTCAAACAAGAAAAATGAGAGGAAATTGCAACCATGTAAAAATAAGGTAAAAACACTGCAAAAAAGAAAAGAAGGACATGGTCCTGCTTTTTACTTGTTTGATTTTTAGTCTTTCAAAGAAATTATTTGAATTATTCTTGTTGTTCTTCATTTATGTCTGCTATATACAAAAAAAAAGTAATAAAAATTCCACTTCTTACTGTTTCTCTAAAACACCCTGGTATTCTACAACACCATTCCGATGATTTGATAAAAGGCCCTTGTCGGTCGGCGCTCCTTGTCGCTGCTCCGGCATCCATACGGGTACTTTATGTGCAGAGTGCTGGGCAATCGCCCAAAAGAAATTAGGTACGCCTCTACCACCGGGCTCAGACAGCCGGCCCTTGATCGTCCCCGGACAGGATTGAACTGTCAACCTCTCGATGTATTCTTTGAGAATAACAGTCGAACGCGCTAACCAATTGCGCCACGGAGACCCGATGCGAGAGATCAAAGTTTAGAATTTGTCTCCGCCTGGCCGTTGGGAGAACTTGCGATGTGCAAGGGCATGTTCGGGTGTTCGTGGATGTTGTTGTCGGGTGCAGACGGGCAAGAAAGAACTTGCATATGCTGGCGCGTGTTTGCGAGGGCGGAATCAGCGGTTTTACATATAGCTATATTCCTCGTCTGGGTGCCGCCTTGCTTGAGTCCCGCTGGGGCACTCTGCCCATCGTGAATCAGTGCTCCTGTATGGTGCATCCCTCTGCGGCGCTCCAGATTTCCGCCGTCAATAAGATGTGGTACTGTTTCACCATTCATCGCCCTTTCGGAGCGCTTCGGAGTCGTATCTTGTGGCGATAACTTTGCATTTTCCGGGCATTTACATAAATATATACTCCAGCTTGGTTAGCCTCCACGCGCTCCGGCGCGACTCTGCCCGATGGCGCGGAGTTTTCAGCCGCGATGGTGGTCGAGATGTCCTTTCATCTTCTACATAAATCCTTGTTTGGCTTTTATTCCTTTTTCAGTTTCGGCTTTGGGCAGCCATGCTGCGAGTTGAGACGGGGTTTCTAACTGTATCCATCTTCATCATCATCATCTTTGCAGTGCATATTTATACTCAGCCTTGTTGTTGTTCTTATTTTGCGTTTCTGGCTTGTGACTGGTCGGCTTCCGCTCTGAGGCTCTGAGCTGCTTCCGCTAGTACGTCTGATATATCTTGCTGCCGACCACATTTTTGTTTAGTCAATTCGATTCGGGGAATTATCCTGTCTGATCGCAAAAGGCAGCCTACATAAACTCATCCTTTATATCGCTCTATTCCGGGTCTAGTTCTGCGTTAATTTGTTTTGTTGCCAGCTTGACTGGACCATCAGAGCGATATTGAAGCTACTCCCAAACCGGTTCAAAATAGATTCTTATACCCTTGATCCCCGCCGGTCCTGCAACAAATACACATATATACACCCTGTGGAGTGAACCTCGGCTCAACTACCAAGAAACTTCGGCTGACCGACTCGGCACATCAACTTGAGATTGAAGATAAGAGCCCAAGCCGCGGCTACGGAGTGAAGCAAGAACCATGGCAGCACGCAAGGGCAAGGCTCCGAACATGCCGAGACCCCCGCCCACCCCGGTCCCGCTGCTGTCGCCGCAGATTTGGATGGCAGAAGACTTCGACCCGGAGGCGGTCTCGATCCCGAGGATGAGGGCCATCTTGGACTACACTCAAGTCACCGACTCGTATTATCGCAAATTTCAACAAACCGCTCTCTTCGTAAATAAGGTCTTGCCCCGAGTCAAGGTGCGTTTCTTCTCATGGATTCACGCGATGTCCGTCTGATATTTCTGATTCATTTTTTTTTGTCTCGAAAGGCCCTTGTCGCCAAGCACGGCGGAGATATCTCGACCATAGACGACTCGGTCTTACTCAAGGAAATCCTCATGATCCCCAAGGTCGACTCCAGAAAGCGGAGGGCATCATCCGTCTCATCTGGCCAGCCTGCAACCGACGACCACCCTCAACCTCCCCCCCTCCTCCCCCTCAACCAACTTCCCGGACCTAAAAAGTCCAATAAAAAATTCAAACCTTCCTAGTTTTCAAGCGTTCCTTCCCCATAGCTACCTCCCCAAAACTCATCTTGTATTGTTATGTCTCTTTCTCTCATTTTTTAACTGTCCTCATTGTCTCTCTTCTTGGTCATCCTTCTCATCACTGATCGACATCGTCTCACCGATTCCACTCTCCAAATACCTTATTGGCTGTATCTTCCCATTCCGCCCTGCCTGACTTTTGGTGTTTTTCAAGACCAAAAAAAAAGAAAAGAAAAACCTTGAATGAGTTGTTGTTTTGTTTTGTTCGGCGCATACATTACTTACAATCGATCCTCCAATCAGATCTTTCATCGCTCATGTCTCCTTGGAGGCATTCAGACATGTCATAAGCCTGGTTACATATAACAGCTTGAAGGCAGCCCATATGGAAATTGTATTTCAATCAATTTGTGTTCTCTGCTGGATTATGCCGACCAGTCGTCGATGATTGCCTGCACAATTTGTGTTTTGGTGGGGATGATGAAGGTGATCAGCTTCTTCCAGACGAGGCAAGGCCTCACTGCCAGCATGGATTGTATCCGATTTTCACATCCTGGGTGATCATATGTATGCAATCTTGGCGAAAACTTGCTTTTTTTCTTTCTAGAAAGAAATTGTGCCAGAAAAGGTTAACGAAGGTAATTGAGACATGGTGACCTTGTCCAACTTGGCCGAGAAGGCTGGAATTTCAGGATTGAACATGAGTGTTTTCATTTAATGAATAATTTATAAAGGGTAATAGATTCAGTAAATACTGTAAATCTCTTCTCAAACTAATATTTCAGGGAGGGAAAAACGAATGGAACAGTGAAAAAATGGTGCTCAAAAGTTTCAAAATTAACTACAGAGATATTCCACATGGACACTGACAGTGTGGATGGTGGAAGATTGTGATTGGTTTTAAAAAATGGATGGAGTGTTATAATATAATCAGGTGGTAGTGGAACTTTTTTAGATGACTAGCTGACGCTGGAGGGTAATGCTAGAGAAGAAGAGGGTTTATTACCATACCTGACATTCCCCAAGGAGTTACATTCCTCATAAATCATTAAATAAGTTATGTACAATTTTATGCTGCTGGATAAAAATTGAATAACACCTTAATTCTCATTTCCCAGGTAGTAGTATTTATGAGAACCACCTACTTACTGAGTTACTTATGTCTAGTTTTGTTTAGATTTGCCTGTGAAACTCTGAAGCTAATATTTGTCCTGTGGGAATCAAACCAATGTCTCTTATGTCCATTCCAAGTGTCCTAACCACTGTACTAGGGATTCTTGGAGATGAAACCACACATTTTCATGTCTCTGCGGCCCACAGTGACAAAATTTAAATTCATTTAGAACAATTTGCATTCAGAATCTGCCAGTCAGAATGACCACACACACAAGCTTCTGATAAGTGATGCTCAAATCCATCCAATGGTCCACCAAAAATGTTGACTTTCATCATGCCTAGTTCCAATAATACCTCAGCGCACATCTTTTGTTGGAATTGAGTGCCAGAAGTGGGCCTGCTCACCCAATCAAATGTCTGTGCAATCCATTTTGGGTGCCTCACCGCATGACATTGCTGCTCAACAACATTGGAGATTGGATTGAACAGCCCAAACACCCAGTCATTGAATGGCCCTGATACAATGATGCTTAATACTCTTTACATGATGAAGGCACAGGCTGGCTTG